TGCCCGTGCCCGACCGCCTGCGTCGCCTGGGCTGGGAGCAGATGTGGCGGCTGACGGCGGAGCGGGAGCTCATGAGCATGCTTTCCACCTCGCTGGCCGATCAGGTAACGGGTCCTTCCTCCGGTGTGGTCGGCCCTGCTGTGTTCCCGTAGCACTGCTGGCACGGGGGTGGCCATGGTGTCTTCCTCATCCACCTGTGCGCTTGCCTTTCTCTCTCCTAGGACATCTTTAACACGGTGATCTGATCAAGCAGGACCCGGCCCTGGTGTACCGGCTCCCCTGCTTTTGGAACGTGCAGCTCTCTGATCACACCCGCTCGGAGCAGTGCTACACCGAGGTCTCGGATCTCAAGGTGAGCGGGCTCGCTGCCTTTGAGAGTCGGCGAGGGCCTGAAGGACAGCGCATGTGCTGGGGATCCAGGGGAGCCAGCGTGGGGTCTGGGGGCTCGGGGAGTGCTGGGTGCTGCTGACTTCCCCTCCGCGGGGTGACATACCAATGCCCTCAGGTGATCCACTGGAACTCGCCCAAGAAGCTGCGGGTGAAGAACAAGCACGTGGAGTTCTTCCGCAACCTCTACCTGACCTTCCTGGAGTACGATGGGAACCTGCTGCGCAGGGAGCTCTTCGGCTGTGCCAGTCTCCCCAGCCCGCCCAGCGACCAGGTGAGGGCGATTGCTGCTCTGCCCCTGACCCCACGGCGTGGGGCGGGCAGAGACCCCACGCAGCCGCCCCAGCTCACCCTGGGGCTCCTGCTCTCCCTCACCTTCATGGCGTTGGCAGCTGCAGCAGGCGCTGGAGGAGTTGGACGAGGACGATCCCTGCTACGATTTCCGCCGGCAGCACCTCACGCAGCATCGCATCCACCTGTTCTTCCTGCAATACGAGTTCCTGGCCCTTCCTGACCCCACTGATGTCACCCTCGTGGCCCAGCTCTCCATGGACAGGTACTTGCTGGTGAGGCTGGTGGGAGGTCAGATCCTGCCTCCGCTCTTCTGGGGAGGCTCCGCAGCTTGGCAGCTCCCAGGAATCAAGAACCACAGGTTCCTTGCCCTCACACCAGCGCTTTGCAGTGAGGAGCAACACCCCACGCTGGGAGCAGCAATTCCTCCCGCTCCCCCCCTGAATTGGGCTTGGCTGGCATGTGGCTTACCGGCAGGCACCCAGTTCAGGGTTTGGCCACGCTACGGTGGGGCTGGTCTCCTGCTCACGCAGTGCCCTCTGCTTTCACAGGTTACAGATGTTGGAGGCCATCTGCAAACACTGGGCAGGCCCCATCAGCCTGGCGCTGTACATGTCGGACGCGGAGGCTCAGCAGTTCCTGCGCTACGCCCAGGCCTCTGAGGTGCTGAGCGCCCGTCGCAACGTCGCCTACCACATCGTCTACAAGGAGGGGCAGTTCTACCCCATCAACCTCCTGCGCAACGTGGCCTTGGCCAACACGCAGACGCCGTATGTCTTTCTGACGGACATTGACTTCCTGCCTATGTACGGCCTCTACGATTACCTCAGGTAAGGCTTTCTCCAGCCGGCTCTCGCTCAGCCTGCCAGGCTCCCCAAGCACCAAGGTTTGTAGGAAACGCCCTGGGCAGCAGTTCTCAACGTGCAGAAACTGTTTACTTTGTGTTCGACCTTGGGATCCTGCCCTTGCTTTTGTCAGACGCCAGCAGATGAGGAAGGAGCTGTGACTGTGAGGGGTGCCTCGTTCCTCCTGTCCATGCATGGCACCTCTGCATAGTGTCCAAACTCATTAATAGCCTTCGGGAGCGGTGGGCAGGCTGGAGGGGCTGAGGAACGGGGCTGTGGCCACGGCTCACAGCCAGGGAGACCTCACACCCTTCCTACCACCATAGGAACTCCATCCAGCAGCTGGAGCTGCCCCAGAGGAAGGCAGCTCTCATCGTACCGGCGTTCGAGACCCTGCACTACCGCCTGACCTTCCCCAAATCCAAAGCAGAGCTGCTCTCCATGCTGGACATGGGCTCCCTCTACACCTTCAGGTAGGGACTGGAGCTGCCCCACTGTCCCCCGGGGCTGTCGCACCCAGCAGAAGCCAGTTTGGTACCCTTGTGCTCTGGGGCTGTGGGGCAGCTGGCTCAGAGGACCCCCTGCATCCTCTGTCTGTCTCGGGGAGCTGCCAGCTTTCCCCGGTCTCTCATTTCCATCTCTCCCCGCAGGTACCACGTGTGGCCGAAAGGCCATGCCCCAACTGA